GATTTTGTTTTTTGGACTTTGATGTAATCATTGGTCGCAATTTGTACAACGACAAAGAGGTGACATCTGTGACTGGGCATTCCGGAACAGTTGTATTTCGCAATAAGCCTGTGGCGGTACGTACTTTATGTACTAACAGCGAACTTCCTGTAACAGTACCGAATATGCATCGAAACGCTCTTTTGGCTGTTTTATCAAAATTTCCCAATATTTATGCGAGTGTAAATTCCGTGCCGGCAGTAAATAACGCAACTCTACAAATACGACTAAAGGACGATTTTGTGGTAAACCGAAATCCTTATCGGTAAGCGCCCAGCGAAAAGGAAGCGTTAAGAGAGATTATAAATGACCTTTTGGAAAATAAAATTATCCGTGAGAGTGAATCTGCATTTGCGAGTCCTATTCTGCTTGTTAGGAAGAAAGAAGGAACATACCGAATGTGCGTCGATTTTCGAGAGCTTAATGCACACACTATCAAAGACCGCTACCCGCTTCCTCTTATTGATGACCAATTGGATCGACTTGGAAAAGGAAAGTTTTTTATATCCTTGGATATGTCATCGGGTTTCCATCAAATACCGATAAATGAGGATTATATCCACAAAACTGCGTTCGTAACTCCAGAGGGACATTACGAATATTTAAGGATGCCCTTTGGACTGGCAAACGCTTCTGCGTTTTTCCAACGATGGGTCCTTTAAAGGATTATGTTGCATTAGTATATCTGGATGATATCCTTATCCCGTCGGTGACCGTTGAAGAAGGAGTAACATTTTTACAAAAAGTTTTGGAGGCCTTACAAAACGCAGGTCTTTCTTTGAACATCAAAAAGTGTCACTTTTTACAAGACAAGTTGAAGTATCTTGGCAGAGAAATTTCGGCAGAAGGAATACGCCCTAGCGATCGCAAAGTGGAGGCTCTTCGAAATACTCCATCCTCATCCACTGTAAAGCAAGTGCGACAGTTCATGGGCCTTGCAGGTTATTTCCGCAAGTTTATACCAGATTTCGCTAGCAAGACAGCCTGCATAACCAAATTTACAAAAAATAATGTTCCTTTTGAATGGAAGGATAAACAGGAAAACGCGAAGGACTATATCGTGAAGTGGCTGGTCACTAAGTCTCTTCTGCATATTGACACCAGTGCAATTGGTTATGGCGGAGTTTTGATACAAAAATCAGGTGGAACGAGGCATGTTATCGGTTACTTCAGTAAGAGAACCACCCAAATGTTACTGATTGTAACGCCGTAAAGGCCACTGCCACAAAGAAGGATATTCTGCCCAGAGTTGCGCGCTGGTGGACATATATGCAGGACTTCGAATTTGACATAATTTAGCGTAAAGGGAGCTCTTTACCCCACGTAGACTATTTAAGTCGCAACCCTGTCTCTATAAGGCGTATTACAGCACCAAAAAAAGACGTCCATAAAAGTTGGATGTACATCGAACAACGAGATGATGCAGAATTACGTCAGTTAATCCAAGATGCCGAAGAAGGGCGTTTGGATAAGACTCGTTACTCTGTTCGTGAAGGCTTGCTGTATTATTTAATACCTTCCCCAGATGGCACCATGGACAAACCTTTTGTTCCAAGACATAGCAAATTGGGGCTGCTCAGAATTTTTCACGACGAACAATGCCACATAGGTGTTGATAAGACAATTGAAACCATCCAAAGGCATTTTTGGTTTCCCAGACTTCGAGGTTTTGTTAAGAATTACATCAAACATTGCCTTGTGTGCGCCGTTAAGAAAACCAGAACGGGACCTTTACAAGGATACGTGAAAAACGTTTCTAAACCCGATCTACCACTGCAGGTTTTGCATGTCGAATGTCTTGGCCCATTGGCAGTTACCATTGAAGGGTACAAACACATACTAGTTATGGTTGATGCATTCTCCAAGTATTGCTACTTGCAACCTCTTAAAACACTGAAAACCAATGAAACTAAATTGGCGTTTCAAACTTTCGTTTCTCTATTTGGTTCTCCAAAAGAAATAATAATGGATGCTGGAACCAATTTCAAAAACTTGAGCATGCCCGATTTCCTTGCTTCCTTGTCCATTTCGTGTCACTACACAACTCCAGATGTCCATCGTTCAAATGGTCAGGTTGAGCGATATATGAGAACGATCATGAATCTATTGCGAATCGAGACGAAAGTAAATTCTGATTGGACTAAAGGACTTTGGAAAATACAGCTGGTATTAAACACAACACTACACAAAACTACGCAAACAACTCCGCTCAGAGCACTTTTTGGTATTGATGGTGCCACACCCTTGATTCAAGAGGTATTAAAAAACCTCGGTTCGGACCTCAATATGATTCGGAATTTAGACCTGGATCGTGAACGTATTATAGAAAGGAATTGGAACTGCAGCTTGTAAGGATCTGAAGGTTAATGCATCTCGACGTAACACAACCCCGTTTAAAGTTGGTGATTTTGTGTTGATGCACCGAGACGAAGTAATGCATCGAAGCAAACATAATTAGAGTTCCAAGGGCCGTACGAGATTGTGGGAATTACCCCGAAAGAGCGCTTTGAAATTCAACGTAACCAAAGCAGCTAAGGAGCAATTGAGGCACTGGCCCACTGATTGGTCCTTATCAATGGACATGAGTGAATTGTTAAATCAGCTAGAAGCTGAGGACAATGATGAGAGGTATGTTAAAAGCTGTAGATATTTTTGGGTTGAAAGCTAGACGCTTTGCAATTACAAAATTGTTGAAAGCTAGACGCTTTGCCTAAGCTTAAATTGTGAATATTAATATACATTTTTAAAAGCTTGACGCTTTGCAATGATGACATTGTTGAAAGCTGGACGCTTTGAATGTTAAGATACACTTTTGAAAGCTTGACGCTTTGCAATGATAATATTTTTCAAAACTGGACGCTTTAATTACCTGTTGTTAGCTAAAAGCTTAATTTTATGAATTGTTTACTTTTAGTATTACTTCAGACAACTTTCCTCTAGAAGAGAATCACCTTAAAGATTCGTCCTAATGAAGTTGGTTTATGCTTCGAGAGCGAAGATTTTGTCAGAATTGGCCGTGTTGGCGGTGGAATTAAAATAATTATTAGAAAAATTATTGTTGTTATTTTCTTGTGTTTATTTGTCACGTACAATATTGTTATGTAATCAGATGATTTATGAACCGCAAGCAGTCGTTCGATTAGTCAGTCTTGATCGGTCGCCTGCAGAGCTGTCAGAAAAAAGTATCTTAGTTACTTTAGAGTAACTTAGTTACTTTAAAGTATCTAAGTTACTGTATCTTAGTTCCTTTATTTTTTTAACAAAAAGTATCTAGTATCTTAGATACTTTTTAAAAGGAACTGTATCTTGTAACTTAAAAAAAGTATCTTAGATACCGAAAAGTATCTTAGATACCAAAAATTAACTTAGATACCAAAAAGTATCTAAGATACCACAAGAAAAGTTCCTTTAGTCAAGTTGTTCGAAACGGCCGCGGCCATCGAAGTTATTATAATAAGTATACTGGCGACTTCAGCGACTGGCGCCAATTGACTGGCGGCGATTTTTGTTATACCTACTTAATTTTTATTCACCTATACTTCTTTTATAATCTGTGACTTCGCCACCCGCTCTGTAGAAGGGTGTTTCCGTTCGTTGCGACTTGAATTTATAGTGGTACCTAAGTCTGAAATAAGTTAGGTTAGGTAAGTACTTGCACTTGCTTCTTTATGATGTACTGATGTAGGATATTGGTTGTTACACTGGTTTACATTGTACCGTACATTCTATAATGTTCAATGTATGTTTTCCATTTTAAATTTTAAAAAAATGTTAAGATTAAATGAAAAGTGTGAGAAATTTTTTTTATTTTTATAATTAAGTGGTGTTTAATTAACGATTTTATCTCTTTTTATTTTTAAGATATTTTAAAAGTGCCTAAGTTAGACACTTTTTGCATTAGACCCGTTTTAATCAACTAGATTTTATTAAAAAAAAATGTTAAAAAAGTACGCTGTTGCTAGTACACCGCGCGCGGTGTACTATTCTACACCGCCAATTACGTCATAATTATAATCCGTTTTTGTTCCCCGAGCGTTTAATATTTGACAACAAGCTAGATGGCTCAGATGGTAGGGCGGGCGCTTGGCATGCGAGAGGTCCCGGGTTCGATACTAAGAACTTTTTTTATTTTTTTATTTCATAAATTTGTTGTTTCTTTGTTAAACAGTGTTCGGTTGGGTTGGTTGGTTTGTTTTAGTTTTATCGTAACATAAAATCTACTAGAAGTTGTCGAACTTTTTTTATTTCATAAATTTGTTGTTCCTTTGTTAAAGTGTTTTATTTTTATCGTAACATAAATTTGCCCATTTTAGTTGGGTTTTTTGCTCAATGGGGGGGGGGGTCCAATGGGGCGGGGTCGGTTGGGTTGTGTTGTTGAGTTTGGGTTGGTTTGGGTTTATGACGTAATATATAATTTGGCGGTGCTTAAAATTATTTGAAAAATCAGGGTGGGGTTGGAACGAATTTTTGTTGGGCGGTTTATACGAAACTTATTACATAATATACAAAGTAACTAAAAAAGTATATTATTAAGTATCTTAAAAAGTAACTTAAGATAAGTATTTAAGTTTCTTTTTTTAAAGAGTAACTAGATACCCAAAGTAACTTCGGATACTTTTTCAAAAAGTAACTTATCTTGTATCTAGATACTTTTTAAAAGTATCTTTGACAGCTCTGGTCGCCTGTAATGAGTAGCCGTTCGATAAATAAAAATTATTGAAAGTGAATTAATTCACTTTCAATAATTTTTTGGTGGTTATTGCTTTTCGTACATTTTCTAAATTTCTAATAATATGCAATATTTTATCAAACAAAAAAGGTGCGCCATCTCTCCCGGTTTTACCCTAATGCAATAATATTCAAATAATATTTAATTAAGCTGAAACATTATTATATGGAACTTACCACTTGGCAAGAAATGTATTTAATTTAGAATAAAAGCAATTAAGAATAAGATAAAACTTTTATTAAGTTACTTAAACCATAGATATACAGATCAAAAATAGATAATAAGTAAAGATCTATTCATATTTTAAAATTAACCCTACACAATTCATATCCATAATTATTATTTAAACAATAATTATTATTTAAACAATGCATATCCATAATTATTATTTAAACAATTTATCAAAACTATTAAGTAAATAAACATATATTTATGTTAAAACGAATCCCTCTTCAATTGGTGTGTCCCAAGGAAGTTGGAACATTTCTATGGGTAGGTTAATACAGTGTGTCGCTTTCAAGTCTTTCAGGTAACGCTTTGCCTATAATTAGAATAATGCATGTTATAATAATAATAAGGGCAAAGCAAATAAAAACGATGCGCATGGAAACTTCATGAGTTAAGCCACGGCGTTCTCTATACATAGAGAACGCCGTGGTTAAGCTAAATTTACGTAGGTTTAATTTGCACTTGACTTAAAATTTTTAAGTTACTAGTACCTAGTATTTTAATTTTGAAACATACATTTAAATTTTACTTACCAAAAATAGTGTAAGCTGATTTCGCTCTGTTGTACTAAAATCTTCACCAATATTCATTGGGTAACTTTTTGAATATTCAGAAACATATGATTGAATTAATGACTCGCACTTATGTACATCTACTCCGTGTTTGGATGTAATATCATCTATAAAAATTTTTTAATACAAGGAATAAAATTTATTTATGTCATTAGGCTAAGAAGTGAATCTTTTTGTGCTGAGCTCAAAGTTTAAAGGCCTACGCGTAGCGAATTAATTAATTCGCTTAAGCGAAGCACAAAAAGACACCTCTCAGCCGAATTACATTTTTTCATCTTATATGCGATAATCAATCACTTTAGGTTACTACTGTAGTGAGTGTTGTTAATAAAAACGTTTAAATTATAGATCGCATAAAGATAAAATATATATCTTGGAAAATAAGTAAAGTTAAGAATATTTTATAAACAAATTATTTTATTTGTAGCTTACCTTGGCAATTTCCAGTAAGCGCCAAATATTCTTGAAGGAGAGATACTTGTGCATCTTTTAAAATAAATGGATATCTATGCTGTAAAAGTTTTATTAGCAAAACATTTCCCCTGTTTGACGATATATTTCCTTCTCTTAAAAAATGTAATTTTTATTTTTGTTAACCACACTTATAAAATACCTACTGTAAACAAATTACTTCGTCTTCAGTTCTCCGTATTAATGAAATCGGTCCAGGATATTGAAGCAACTGTTCTGTTACATTCAAATTAATTTGTTCTCGAATTGCAATGTTTACTATAGGTTCCCACCATGCAGGCATGTAATTTATAGCTAGAGGTAAAATATCATCGAATGTTGCATCCAAAATCTAATAAAATATATAGGTAGTTGTTGAGTGACAATTTTTTAATTAAAAAAAAAATACTAACAATTCCTTTACATTCTGGATATGTCATAGCTGCCCATGAAGACGAATACCCTCCAATGCTCCAACCAAAAAACACTATATTTTCGATTTTGAATTTTAATTTGTTTATAGCAAATTGGACCACTGCGTCAATAGCATTTTGTTCTTGAGAGGGATAAGGTCGGCCCTAAAATCATTATATTTTTTAATTTTCCAAAACATACATAATTAGGGCCGTCATATTTTTCTGAAGCTTGATTAGAATGTCATGTTAATCCGTCCCCAGGCACATTCAAAAAGTCTCCGGTCTAAGCAATACAAAATTTTTTTTTCAAAATTCTACTATAATTATTAAGAGCAATACTTCAGACCAAAGCTTTTCGAACATGTATTAACCTGTTTGATAAAAAAAATTGGCGAAAATAGATGTTTGACATTGTAGCCATATAGCCATCGATTTATATATAAAAAAGGGAACTAGCGTCCAAAAAAATATGATTTTCGAGATTATCATTATTTTAATTAGAAAGGTCCAGAAAGAATTTGTTCATCTTAAAAAATTACATTGCTATTAATTTTGAAGTCGAACGTTACTACCCAGCTAGCAATTGTGATTTATTCCTAATGTCACAGTAAAAACACGTGTGATTTTCTCTTCCGCCAAATAATACTGTCGTCAGAATAAAATCATGTATATGGGTTATTCTACAAAAGTTGGACAACTTGATGTCATCAGTCAATAGAGTTGGTATTTTAATATTTTTTCTAAATATTTTAGTAAATTGGTCCAGTTTTTTTTTAACTTGTCCACCCAATTTTAAGGTATTTTTTCAAAAGCACGTTTGTAGAAAAACATAATAAATATTCAAAACATCAGTACCTTGGCGTGTCACAACTTCACACTTTGAGTGATTTTATTTTAAAATATATTCAATTTATCTTAAATTTTTCAATATCACTACAAACTTTAAAACATTAAATCCTGTATTTTTCATATTTTATCATAGAATAGCAATTTAAAAAAAACTTTTACCCGTCAGTTCTGTGTCCAATGTTTAAATTCAAAATTCCTGCGAAATATTGAAGTTTAAACGTCGTTCTCGTTTTAACTCAAGTGTTGGTAAAAAATTACCTACAGAGCTCGCCCTTTGCACGACAGTCATTTTGAAAACAATGCAAGCGGCGAAGTGGTGGTGAATGCACGTATAGTTCCAGTCAAAATTTCAGTACTGTGGTGAGTGGTTATTTTCTTACGTATACATATTTCATTGTAATTTATATAAAGCTATATGTGATTTGTTGATAAGTAGCATCCACTAATAAAAAATATCAGTAAAACACTTAATTCCTAATTATAATGTCAAATTTGTATCCCATTCATCAGTACCGTGTCGTCAGTTCCATGTTCGATGTTTCGGTTTTCTTTTTTTCGCAAACTTCAATTTCAATTTTGCTTGCGCAGAACTTGTTTATTTAATGTATATTATAAATATGCTTAAAGTTGCAATAAATCTTATATTTTCCAATAAATTATGTATTTAATTAGTACCCTGGTATACTCATTTCCCTTGCATTCAAATTTAGAAAACACAGATATTTCAGAAACTGTTCTGGAACCGGTCTGGAACAGTATATTTATTATATTATCTATGTTCTCATAACAAAATACTGTTTAATTTTTTCCAAAAACTATATAAACAGAATGAGGTCAAAAGTTGCCCAACTTTTGTAGAATCACCCATATCACTGTGTACACAAACGCCTTTGCCACGCGAACTTCAATCGCCCACTGTAAAATTTGATTTTCTCCTCACGTCACATATAGTGTATTATACGTTTAATTGTATAATCCATTTTAGCAGTGGGATTTTAATATTGTAAATAAAGTGATATGGGTGAATAACCACGACGACGTAGCAGGTTTTAATCACCCATTCTCCGCCTTGATGTCGTATGCCCTCTTTCATTCTATCGCTGACACTCTGGAAGTTTAAAGAAACTCGGCTGTAAATGTCGCTCATTTTCCTATTGCTGACGAATCTTTTCAGGCAATATCTTCCCCTGGTAGGCAGCCAAACCTCAGGTAACAAGGTAGACAAAGTTCACGTCCCATAAATAGATTATTTTTGACCAACCATCACCTTCATTGAACGTCGTTCAAATCAGTGATAGGCAGTTATTTTCAGTTATTAATTCGAATTTCCAGTAGTGCATTGATTGGAAATTTTCAGTTGTTAATTGAAAATTTCTATATTATTTTAAAACATTGTCAATAATAATTATTCAACATGGCCTTTCAGCGCTACCGTATCAAACAGCTTACCAAATCGTTTCTTAAAAACTTATCTTAGCACTGCATTCTCTGCCGCAATCTAGTGTGCTTTGAAGAATGCCATACTCTGATTGGTTAATTTATTTCGAAAGAAAGTAAATATCAGCTAACTTCCTTACCTTTTGGAGTAACTGATATTCGTACAACGGTTGTACTACAACCACGTTTAAATCAAAAGGTAAACCACTTTAAAATCTTAGAGACCAACGTTCAATGTTAGTGGACGTTGTGTTGTGATTTTTTTCCTTATCAGTCATTATCAATAAGGAAAACTTGCTTAATCAGTGCTTAGAGACGCGTTGCGCATGACTACTCTTGTTATTGTTATCCTTGGCCGTTAAATCGTAAGCGATTTTTAATTTTAAAAAATCAGTGGTTTACCCCTCGGTTTAAATCAATGATGGCTGGTTTAGTTGGGACAGAGGTGCCATAACACTTATTGAGACAACTTTTTGATTATGAGGTATTTTTTGTTCATCAAAAACAGAAAGTTATAGATTTTTTAAATGAATATTGTCCATATCCCTTAGTAGAGTTCTACGTATTTTGACGCCGTAAATATAAACGCCTTGCCCATATTTTTAATTTGTTTTTTTCATTCTGTTTGTGATGGCTTGTATAATAAAAAGCCGCCAGCAGCTACAATAGCATTTTCTGGGTTCATCATGATTTCACTAGACTATTTCAAGCAAGCTTTTTCTATAAATTTTTGGTCGGTTCGTTTGTGAGCGGCACGGCTCGTTTAGTTCGTTCGGAGAATGTTCAAGTCAATACGCACCTTAACATTCTTGAAAACAATCCTCCAATTGGTGTTAACAGTGCCGTAGCTACAATGGTTCCGTGGGTTCGGTGGAACCAGGCCCGCAAGCTCAAGGGGCCCGCGGCCAGCGATTGGAATAACAATTTTTTTTTCAAATATTTGGATTAATTTTTTAAAAATATATTTCAACATTTACAGGACATTTATTTATAATAATGGCTTAAGGCTTAGTAAATAGTAAAAGACCACCAATAATAATAATAATAATAATAATAATTTTTGCTTGAATCATGTAAAAGCGAGTCAAAATTAAAACTTAAAAAACTATCAACAACCCGTTGGTCTTCACGCAATGATGCAATAAAGCCCTACGTTTTAGGTATCTTCATGTTCTTAAGGCCTTGTCAAAAATTATTTTAACATCCAATAATAAGGCTGAAAATTTCAGCCTGAAATAGACGAATCGAAAGGATTTTAAAGTACATTAGAGGACTTTGAAACTCATTATTTTACAATCTAACATTTTAAATCGACAAAATCAGTAGCAAGATATCCAAAAATCTAGTAAACTTTTAAAAAATGTGTTAAATGACATAAGCAAACTTCGGAATGAATTTTTAGATATAAAAAAGAGGCCGATATTACATCAAGTAAATGGGGTATAATTCCAGAACTTTGCCAAAAACGTATTCGTAAACGTTTTTTTGATGAAGTTGCAAATGACTTGACTCTTTAAACTGCTGAAGATACTTTTAGTACCGCCCTCGGTGGTGTAGTAGTTAGCGCTGCGGACTACAAGCCGAGAGGTCGTGGGTTCGAATCCCACCAGGGGTAACTTGCGTCTATATCCCAAACCTATTCCCTGTCAAATGCGTTCCGTAGTTTGTCACTGTCAAGTGTTTCTTTAACAAATTTCAAAGTAAAAAGTTATGCAGGTACACTGCATTGTGTCATACCAAACCAACCCAAACTTATGCAGGTACACTGCATTGTGCCATACCAAACTAACCCAAACTTAACAACCCAACCCAACCGACCCCGCCCCATTGGGCCCCTCCCGCCCCATTGAGCAATAGAGGTATTACCGTATTATATATCTAAGGGCAGGCTGGATTGTTACAATGGGGCGGGGTCGGTTGGGTTGGGTTGTTAAGTTTGGGTTAGTTTGGTATGGCACAATGCAGTGTACCTGCATAACCAAATGACAGGGAATATATCCCAAACCTATAGGTTTGGGATATAGACGCAAGTCCAGGGATATGGCTGTTTATTTAAATAGCCACTAACTTCAGTATTTTGGAAACAGAAGTTCTGTTAAATTCTACTGATACAGAAGTAGGTATACCAAATGGCGGAAAACATTCCTGAAATATATGAAGATGATATTTTAGACTTCCCTATCAATTAATGGCTTTTCAAAAATGTTTTTCTATGAAACAACAGGGGAAACTGTCAACTGTCACATTTTTAGATTTTATAAACACAATTATAAAGGTTATAAATCGAAATGTATTTCACAGTGAAAGTAAAGAAAATGTTTTATGAGGACTTTACAGTAGAGTCCGTGCCCGAATTTAAGTTATAGTTTACTGACGGCGAAATTAAAAGGTCAGTACAATGTTCATATAAACTTTTCAAATATTGGCGTTGAGAAACTATTTAATATTTTTGTATTTTTGTATTGAGATAATAAAATAATTTTCACATTAAGTATTATTTTACAAGAAAGGCACTTTATTTTAACGATTGTATGACATTTGACAACTGCCAACTAACTTAAAACTAACTTCAGCCCGTGACTAAAAACCTATTGCTAACTTCAGCCCGTGACTAAAGCGCCGTAAAGGCACAACTTGTCAATGTGTATTTAAAAGGTCACTTAGTGTCATGGAAACATGTACGATAAAGGGCGTTTTAAAGGTGGGAGTAGAAAAAAAAATTAATTAGTACAAAAAAAAAACACCTAGAGGCCCGTGGGTATAGCCTGGAACCCGGGCCCGTTGGGTTGTTGCTACGGCGCTGGGTGTTAACTAGTATGTATTCCGAGAGATGTTGTTTGTTTATTAATTTTAAATTATATTTTGTAAAACTGTCAAGATTTATTTTCGAGTTCGTTTGTTCATTTATTTTAAAATTGTTTTTAAATTATGGAATAAAATTATAAAAGCTGTTTATGTCTTTTAAACCTACTGTACTCTCCCCAAATCCGGGATGGTTCCAACCAATAACTGAGTAATCCGCTTCAATTGGCGTCATGGCTATTCCGACTTCATAAAAACCTGCATTTCCTTCACAACAAATAACCAATATGTTACCATTTGCAGATACATTTCTTTTATCGATAAAAATACTGTCAATATCGTTTCCGTCAGCAGTATGTAACTTAAATCTTTCCCCTTTTAATACATCAACCAAACGAGACCGTCCTTGTAACAAACTTGGTTCTAAAAAAAATTTATGAATTTAAGTTAAGGATTACAAATTACACAACTATATAATATATATACAGGGTGTTTCTTAAAGAAACTTTCTTTTAACTTGAGACAGCTCAATATCTCGAGAAATACGCATTTCACGGAAAAATGTCTTAAATAAAAGGTTAATGTGACCAAAGGGGACATTATTTGGTGCTACCGCTAGCCACCCCCTACCCCTCCTTAAGGGTGAAACGGGGGGTAACTTTGGAAAGTCAAATGGAATGACCCGATTTTTTTCACAGAGTTTGGTAGTACATAAAAAAATGAATAACTTTTATTTGAAAGTTTTTTTCAATTTATCAACAGATGGCGCTGTAATTTAAAATTTAAGAAAAAGGGGTTTCCTTGTAAAATGTATTATTTGAAACGTTTGAAAAACAAAAATTAACATTAAATGAACAATAGTCGGCTCTGAAAACAATTTATAACAAATGTTCGAAATGTCGTCCTTCCATTTCGACACCAAGTGGAGCACCAGCGTCCCTGGTCGGTAAACGTTTGGTGCGGTATCTTAAGCGAACGATTAATCGGACCCTTCTTTATTGACGGTGCATTAAAAGGCGAAAAGTACCGGAATTTTCTAGAAAACGATCTGACGGACCTTTTGGAGGATGTACCACTAGCACGGCTCCAAAACATGTGGTACCAGCAAGATGGTTGTCCTGCACATTATTCGACAATTGCTCGAGAGGTGTTGGATCGGGAGTTCAATGGCCGGTGCACCGCGGTGGATCGGTAGACGTGGTCCAGTAATTTGGCCTGCTCGATCACCTGAGCTTACGCCCTTACGCCACCAGACTTCTTCCAGTGGGGTTACTTGAAAGAAAAAGTTTACGCTACAACTACAACTTGGGAGGACATGGGGGAGCGGATCAGGAACGCCTGTGCGGCGATACCGCCCGATATGTTGGCGCGTTGTGTGCAAGAATTCATTACCCGCATTCAAAAATGTGTTGAAATGGAATGACGACATTTCGAACATTTGTTATAAATTGTTTTCATAGCCGACTATTGTTGTTAATGTTAATTTTTGTTTTTCAAACGTTTCAAATAATACATTTTACAAGGAAACTCATTTTTCTTAAATTTTGAATTACAGCGCCATCTGTTGATAAATTGAAAAAAGTTTTAAATAAAAGTTATTTATTTTTTATGTACTACCAAACTCTGTGAAAAAAATCGGGTCATTCCATTTGACTTTCCAAAGTTACCCCCCGTTTCACCCTTAAGGAGGGGTAGGGGGTGGCTAGCGGTAGCACCAAATAATCTCACCTTTAGGGTGGGTTGTACCAGTCCGAGTTAACTCACGTGTTTATTAAACTACGATTAAAAATAACTCTAGATTATTCCAGTTATTCGTTGTAAAAAACCATTGCAACACTGGTTTAGTTAAACCCTCGTTAATCCTAAACATAGGATTGTTGGTAGCACTGGTTTGTTATTTAAACGTCAAAGTGACAACTTTTTTAAGTTTTAATTGTTTAAATTTCAAAATAAAAAGGTCCAATTTAATTGTCGCTACTTTTTCATCTTATAAAACTTAAGTATTAACATGTTTTTATACAATGTAGTTTACTACCTATCATTATTTTGACTTCATAGATGTCGGACAAGAGAAAACGTGCAAATAACTTTACGGAAAAGGAGGATGCAATACTGTTGAAAACTTTAAGTCCATTTGCGTCTGCAATTGAAAGTAAAAAACAGACGCCGATAACAACAGAATTAAAGCAGAAACCTGGGAAAAAATTGTGACCTTATACAGGGTGTCCGGGAAAATGTGGGAAATCTCTCGGATTCAGATAGAACATGAAAAAATAAGATGACACGTTCCTATAAATTTTTTTCCTACTGGCCATCCTTACGGAGACATGGGCCCAGAAAGGACTCCCCTGCAAATTGGTTTTCCTTGAATAACTTTTAGAGTACTGAATATAATTTAATAAAAATTTAATATCATGGACCCTAGTAAGGACCTCTTAAAATAGTGTCATTGAAACATGTTTAGGTTTTTTTGTTTACCAGGGGCGGACTAAGTTTTACTTCTTAATACTTAAATTTTGAACACCCCGTATGACAAAGACTTAAAAAAACTAAATCTGCATAGCTTGAACCTTAAACTAAAATAAAGGTACTCTTCCCACTGAGCATGCAACATTACACAAGCTTAGGGCAATATTGCTTCTGTAAGGGTTTTGAAATGTTGCAATGTAACATTTGGGCAAGCTTAATGTAACATTGCATATAAACATTACTGTGAATAATGTTGTACCAATGTTACAATACAAACATTGAGACAATATTCTCAAATCAATATTGCTGCACAGTTATTGTCAACAGGTTTGAAAAAGATAATATTTAGATAAAATTTAAAATGAAATATTCCCGAAACTTTTAAGGTGAATCAATATTGCAATATCACCCTACTGTACAGTAGGGTGATTAAAAATCGGCAATTTTTGATTTTTTTTACTGAGCAGCTGCTCAGGTTATGAGTTATGAGTTATGAGTTATGAGACAAAAACCTGCAGGTTTTTGTCTCATAACTCATAACCTTGACGTATTTCTTGAAAAAAATTAAATTCTCTACAAAAAAGGTCTGATTAAAATTTTTTGTTAGATGAACCGTTTCCTTAAACATTGGCATGATTTTACAATTTAATTTTTCAACTTTTGTAATTGTAAAATCATACCAATGTTTAAGGAAACGGTTCATCTTTTTTGTAGAGAATTTAAGAAATATGTCAAGGTCAATTCCATTTATCTTGATGGTTTGGGAGTTATGAGACAAAAACCTACTCAGTAAAAAAAAACAAAAATTGCGAAAAAGAAAAATAGTTGATTTTTTCGGCTCAGTCTAATATGTGTGTGTATCGTGGATGTAATGTTTCTAATGAAATGTTCCTGCAACTTTGCTCGCGCACAGTTACTGCCATATCATTTTCGGTACATTGCTGCATCATTGAAGAAGCAACATTACTGCATGATTACTCCAACAGATTCATAGAGCATACGCCCCGCCCACTGACGGCGCGAGCAGATAGGCAAGACAGAGACTGTCACAGAGTAAGCAAGTCGGCTCGGTTTCGAATATCCGAGCACTGCATCAAGTCTTTTATCTATGGACTGCATAGAGTACAGGTTCACTGTGAGCAGAGACGCTAGTCAGAACATAAGGCTATTCTTTGTTGTGCTGTGGGCAGCCATTAGGTATTTCAAAGTACATAGTTTTAAAGGCGTGCAACAGGTGAGTTTTATGTTTATCATTGCTTATGATGCTTATCACCATTGTTTTTAGAGGTTCTATAAACCAGAGATATCTCTGTATAAACAGTGGTATTGTTTCTATGTAAACTTTTAGCCCATTAATTAAATTTAATTTTTAATTAATTTAAGTTGAAATATTGTTATGATCATGGCTTTAATTACAGCAAATCATGGTTTGTTCTTTGCAGCAAATACAATTCAGCAAACCTGCCATAAAGCTCCTTAGGAGGTAGGTACCTTTGTCGAAAACTAAATCTTTTATTAATTAATTATGTACCTAACCTCCTAAGGAGCTTTATGGCAGACTTGCGGAATTGTATTTGCTGTAACAGGTACAGTAGTGGAAATATGTAGAGCAACAACTGTAAAATAATATAACTCCAAAACGCTTTTATTAATCTTTAAGAAATTTTGGATTAAAATAATTCAACTTATATCTCAGTTTACGTGTTTGAGGGTTTTTTGAGAAAATATTTTTAGCCCATTTTTTTAATATTAAAAAAAACGTTCGAAAAATAACTTTTAGGGACATTTTTTTATAAGTAAATAAAATATATGCTGTTAAAGACCGTTTTTATAGTATACTCTGAAAATTTTGTGCAAATAAAATGAACAGTAACGAAGATACAGCGATTTAAAGTCGTCAAAAATGACCAATTATGAGCAAAATAATCAAAAAGGGGGCATTTTTACCGATTTTGAACCGCTGTATCTTCGTTACTGTTCATTTGATTTGTCCAAGGTTTTCAGAGTATAGTAACAAAAATACGGTCTTTAACAGCATATTTTTTATTTACTTAAAAGAAATTTCCCTAAAAGTTATTTTTCGAACGTTTTTTAAATATTAAAAAAATGGGCTTTAAAAATATTTTCTCAAAAAATTCTCAAACACTTAAACTGAGATATAAGTTGAAGTAATCTGCTTTATAATTTATTATAATTCCATATTTTGTCTATTTGGATTTGCTGCGTTTTTATTATGTTTTGGGCATGTAGTATACTATATAGTAGGTATTATACTGCTTTCTAAAGTAGTCAAAAAGGTGTAAAATAGCTAAAACATAAAAACGCAGCAACTTCAAACAGACGAAATATGAAGTTACTGCCATAGATAAATAACCTGCTCTCTAAGTTAGGATGGCAGTATTAGGCTTGTTTCTACCAAGTATTTTGACTATCAAATGGACGTCAGGGACATGCACAATAGTAAAATCGCTACCATAATATAATATTATTTTCTAATTAGATCCATTTGACAGTCAAAATTCTTAGTAGGAACATACCTATTATCTAAAACTATTATCTACAACTGTGTACCCAGACTGCAATGAAGGTTCGAAAATATTTCAGGAATATTCCCTATCGCCTAGGAATAATCCGCTTCATTCTAGGAATATTCATTGGGAATATTCCTAGAATGATCCTCTAAAACTTCCAAGCATCATCTAAGAATATTCCCAGTAAATATTCATTAGTTTAGTTGCAATACCTCTCACCGTTGCTTACGCACGCTTGATAACTTTATATACCGATAGGTTAATAATATTAGTTGGAGATGTGCGTCTGTGATGGCACAGCCAAACAATGATTAGAGTGGGACTGATCTACTCAGTAACTCAATAATGGCTATACTTAAGTTAAGTTCCTGGGTATAAGAGGCAATAAGGGCTGGGAATAATCCCCAAATTATATCAAGGAAT